GAAGATAACATCTTAGCCCCCAGAAGGAAGAGCGGCAGCTAATTCCTCCCCCCGCGAAGAAATGCCTTACGGCGGTACCATGGGGGATCAGAGGATAGAAGAGAAAGGGGTTTAGGGTTTAGTGGGTAGGGGCGTCAGCGTAAAGTTTTAGTATGACGCTGCGTCGAGTCGCCACATATCTAGGCCAACATCTATGCCTAGAATCCGTAAAAAGGATTCCCCCCCCCCCTAAAGGGGGGAAAAACACACACACACACACCATCGCGGGAATATTCAGGGAAGCTTCCTCGAAACGTCGAGATCCGATGAAAACTTGATTTTCGATAAACGGGGTAAAACCAATAACTTCCCGATGTCTGAAAATTTTCAATTTTCTTAGCGGGAAGTTAAAAAATGTCTGCTCCTTTTCCATTTCATAAACGAACTAATATAAACTCAGATCTTTCATCCAATCGTGCTAATAATGATTTATCAATTACATCGGCACACAAAAAAAAGTTGTCTGTAAAAGGGAGCCCGGTCACTAACGTTTTTAAAATACAAAAAAATTTCAAAAAACCAAAAAAATCGGGAAAGTGGCTGTTATAAATATAAGAAAAAATCTATTAAACACGGTTGTTAATGACGGGTGCATTTTCATGAATGGAATATGATCTTAGAATTGAAAAATTGACAAAATTCTGAAATTTGTAAATATAGCATGTAAGGAGATGGTACGAAGCTAGATCTCATAAAACAGTATGTCAAAGCTTTGGACAAAAATGGTGATTGTTTCCAGTACTTGAATGAAAAGTTTCCTGCGATAAGTGATGCAAAATTAAAAGAAGGAATTTTTGATGGACCCCACATTCGAATTCTATTTTAGGATGTAAATTTTATAGGAAAAATGAACGAGACGGTGAGAGCAGCTCGGGTAAGTTCTAAAAATATGTCCCAAAACTTTTTAGGAAATAAAAAAAGCGAAAACTTTACGTTAGTAGAAGAATTGGTGACAAATTACAAAAATTTAGGTTGCTTAATAAACCTCAAACTACACTTCATGGATTCTCACGTCGACCACTTTCCTGAAAATCTTTGAAATGAAGGGTAGGTATCGAGTAAATTAGAATGTGTTGGGCATGATTTTAGATTTTTGCTGGATGCTAACAAGAGAAATACCAGAAGAAAACAGAAAACGTAAAAGGAACCCACTGCGTAGGTCATATGAAGATAACAAAATTCGATACAAACGAACGACAGTCTGAAATTCGGAAATACGATTTCGTACCTTCTCCTTACGTGGTATTTCTTACAGATTTTAAAATTTTGTCAATTTTTCAATTCTAACATCATATTCCATCCATGAAAATGCACTCAGTCATTAACAACCGTGTTTAATAGATTTTTTCTTATATTTATAACAGCCATTTTCCCGATTTTTATGGTTTTTTGAGATTTTTTCGTAATTTTAAAACGTTAATGGGACAAGATTTCAGATTCAAATTCAGTAGAACAAAATACATAGAAATCATACTCAGTCTGAATCCAAAAAATTTTTTCATCTCGGTAATTTCGATTTTTCATGATTTATTGCAATTTTTTGGGTTTTTCGCTATTTTTTTAAATTTTGAAGGTTCAACCGGCTAATTAACGTTCAGATTCAGATTCAGTAAATTGAAATACATAAAAATCATACTTGGTCCGGGTCTACAAAATTTTTTTCATCGCTGTGATTGCAGTTTTTCGGTTTTTCGCAAGTTTTTGCCTCTTTGGGTTTTTTGCAGTTTACTCAAAACTGGAGGGTGACCGGGCCAAAAGGATTTCAAATTTGGATTCAGCGGGTCGAAATACATGTCAGTATAGGTGGTCCCGGTCCAAAGTACAGACAACTTTTTTTCTTTGTGTGCCGGTGTAATTAATATTAATTATAAATAATAATAATTATATCAATTAACAAATTGATGTATCAATTTTTGATTAACAATGTATCAATAAGTCCTTTTTTTTGTCAAAATAATTTTTAAATGAAAATTTTTTAATTTTTAAATACAAAATAATGATAATTCAGTGATAATAATTCAATTCAATTCATAAAATTATGCAGCTTTTCATCAATGTTTTTTTATGACGTTATCACGTAAAACTATCGCCCGTAAACCGACTTTACAGACAACCGAATTTTTAACTTCCCGCTAAAAATCTCAGATTTTCAAAAATCGGGAAGTTATTGTTTTCACCCCGTTTTGCAAAAATCGAGTTTTCATCAGATCTCGACGTTTTAGGGTCACAGGAAGCTTCACTGACTACCCCCGCGGTGGTGTCTGTATGTCACTATGTCTGTATGTATGTATGTATGTATGTATGTATGTATGTATGTATGTGTATGTGTGTGTGTTTTTTTTTTTTTTTTTTTAAACCTCTTATAACTTTTGAACGGCTTGACCAATTTAATCGAAATTGGTGCCATTTGAAAGGGCTTGACCAAACTTAGATTTCCTGA